AGAGGAATTAGCTGTGTTAGTCTGTTGCTGCAAAATAGTCCAAGAGTTCAAATAGCACCTTTAAGACTAACAAATAGCACCTTTAAGACTCACCTTTAAGACTAAGACTGAGTGGTGGGTGTGGCCTTATGACACACTTCCGGTGATGGCAGGGGGGGTGGCCTTATATTTATTTATTTATTTATGCTTTCAGCTTGTATCCCGCTCGAACCCCCCAAGGGGTCTCTGAGCGGCTTACAGTTACTCTTTATCCCTATCTATGGCCACACATAGTCACGGTGGGGACTGCCCTACCGGCACCCAGTGGAGGGACTTGCTGTTCTTCTTTCCCGGTTCGGCTTATTGTCGGCTCGTCTTTCGGTTTCTGGCTCCTCTCCTCCTCCTTCTTGTGGTCTTCGGCGTCGGCTGTGATCGGCAGGCCCATCCGGCGCGCGGTTCGCATCAGCGCGGCTCTGGCTCTGTACATTTGGCTCCGCTGTGCCTGCGCCTCTACGTTCTTTGCGTCTCCTGGCTCCGCCTTCTGCCGACGTCCGATCCACCGCTGGTGTTGCGCCTAATCGCCATTTCACCACTCGCTGCTCGCTGCCGATGCTCCATCAGCCCCCACAGCGGGGAAGGGTGCCCCCTGTCACCTAGGGCAGGTACCCATTTATCTATTTATCTACTTGCTGTCGCACTGCCGATGCTCCATCAGCCCCCACAGCGGGGAAGGGTGCCCCCTGTCACCTAGGGCAGGTACCCATTTATCTATTTATCTACTTGCTTTCGAACCGCTGGGTGGGCGGGAGCTGGGACTAGGGCCAGGTGCTCACCCTGGCCGCGGTGGGTTTCGATGATGTTGGGGGGGGTGGCCTTATGACACACTTCCGGTGATGTCAGGGTGTGTGGCATATGCTAATGAGTTATGCCAATGAGTTCCCCTAACTCTTTTTCTACAAAACGACCCCTGGTTAACTGGAAACCCCTTATAAACGTTTTACACAAAATGGGGGGGGGGATGAAGTGATGACTTATGGTTTTGAAGATTAAGAGAAGAAAAAATAGATTATAGATAAGGGAGAGGTTTTACTAAGGTAGTTATAGAGAGAGTGATTAAATTAAGTTGTACCAGTCATAGACGAAAATCAAAATATATTCCCTTACTTTTCTCATGTTTCTTTGTTTTTTGTATGTTTTCTGTTTTTTTTTTCTTTTTATGTATGTTTTCTAAAAAAAAAAAAATAGAGCCCCTCGATGGGCTTCTACCCAAAACAGAGCGATGAACAATACAAATCTTTGGCTCTATCCAGTAACATTATTTATTTAGCATAGGTCTCTCTCACTTCTTGTGGTCAAAGACAAGGGTGTCCTGGGGAAGGTGGCGTTCCAATGAGC